TTAAGTGGGGGACAGATTAGAACTTAAGTTATGAGTTGATACTGAATACTAGACTAATTATTTTGTTGATCCTGATCTTCCTACTTCTCTTGCTTTAGGGCAAAAAGCTTCATCTGTCAGTGTATTTAACTTCTAAATTGTTGTATTATACTCAGGTGACCGTTAAGGACCTTGGGCCTCTTGTTTAATCATACATTTGTATATAAAAAAGCAGGAGCGGCAGACACTTGGCGCCTTTGTATATTTAGACTGTACAACATTAATGACATGTTTCCGTGTTTAAAATGTTCCTTTTCGACCAGGATTGAAATCAAATATTTAGAAAAAAAAATACATGGTTACTGTTTAGAAAAAGCGAAATTTGGGCGAGACTTGCCACATTTAGTTGAGCAGCAACTAAAGGTATCAATGGAAAATGCAGAAGGAACAAATAACAGTTATAAAATCAGGACTGTTCTTTCTCAACTTAATATATGTTTTATATATATATATATATATATATATATATATATATATATATATATATATATATATATATATATATATATATATATATATATATATATGAAATAGAATATTTAAACATAACACAATCACAACAGAAAATGCAACTATACAGTGTTGACATTTTTGAAGATTATTAGGTATATCGCTATACTAAAACAGGTTATTTTTTATTTTAGATGGAACAGTTGCTAAAGGATGACACACAAGAAGACCTCAACTTCATGGAAAACAAAAAAAACTTTGATTCCACAAATTCATGTTTTGGTCTCGAATTTTGAACTGGATTCCCTTAATCCAGATATTCCATTCACAAATGACCATTTTATAAGCAAATTGGTTCATCAACGCTCCATTCCAAGAGAGATACTGTAAACTTATGGGTTCTACAGAAAAACCAAAAGCTGCTTTTTTTCTCTTTTCAATTTGTTATATGTTTTGATTTTTTTAAAATTTCATTTAATTGATTTTTGAATTAATTTGTGTTCAAGAAAATAAAAATATTTTAACAATTGTTTTTGTCTTTCTTTACATTTCAATTTGACCTCAACATGTACATGTATCTCTGCTGGTGGTTAGTCTGTCCTTGAGGGTACTTATGCAAAACTTCAAAAACTTTTGAAAAATTTTAACTCCAAATCTTGTAATGTTGTCTACGGAATAGAATGTACCCTCTCTGGTTCTGCTTATGTCAGTGAGGCCAGGGGTTTAATCAATAATAGAGTATCTGGGCATATATTACAAATTGACAGAGGAGGTGGCAGCTTCTTTTCAAGCATTTTAATTCTTCACGCAATTCTTTTTGTTAAAAATGGTTGGAATTCTCGAAATAAAAGTTGTCATCGTACTGATGGCGCATCCTGAACGGAATCCTTCAGTAGACAACGGGAAGAATAAAAATTATGTCAGTTTTAAATATCACGATCAAATTTAATTGGAATTCCCGTACCTCTACTTGATACCTAGGCTACATAATAATCCTTACAAAGATACACAGCGAGTTCCAGTAAATGTTCTACCAAGCCTCTATCGTTACTCTAGCTCCAAAACTGTAGCGTTATGGTTTTATATTTTAGTTTTTGACCATAACGGTCAAAGACTGAAATACAAAACCATAACGCTACAGTTCTGCAGCTATCGTTACTCCTCACTAAAATATCAGCAGTGAAGGAGAAACTTCAGGAGTGGTGTTTATCAGATATGGATACTTAAAAACTCCTAAGAACTTTCAGAAAAGTTGAAATCACAGTTTTACCAAAAGTCAATAACACCAAAACGTTCTACTTTTTAACACTTTCTACAACCATTCCCCATGATAAATCAAAGTCCTTGCATTTTGACATCATAGACAGCTGCTTTTTCAATAAAAATTGAACTGTGTAATTTCTGTCGATGACCTTGTCATTGGTCATTTCCAAAACTATTTTGATAAAAAAAATTCTGATCGTACACATAAGTACTCCGAAGTTGATATTAAAAAGATGCATGGATCGACGATATCTATGTGGTTTTTGGGGACGAGGTCTTCCAACAATCTGTTGGAATTCCCAATTGCACCACGTAATTAGCAGACCTGTTTTTCAAAAACGTCTACATTAAAAGAAGAAGTCTCTTGCTGTGGCCTTCAATTTAACTTTTAGATATATCAACGACGTTTATCAATTAACAATATCCATTTTCATTCCAGTGTTGATTCGATATATCCCTCTGAACTCGAAATAAAAGACACCACATAGTGTTTTACACAATTGTTTCATATTTTGAATTTTTTACTGGAAAAAAAGACGTTAATGGTAACATAACAACAACAACAAAGTCAATTGGGACTCCTCAGTCTTTAATTCAACAAATATAAATGAAATATATGATATTTTCTTACACACGTATGATGCTATTTTGGAAAAACATATACCTAAAAAGGTAGTCACAATCGGGCCAAGAGATAAACCATACATGAATAATAGCATACGCAAAGACATCGTGTACACAGAAAAGCAAAAACATAAAAATTGCCCAAACCTATGGCGTCGTTTCAGAGAATTGCGAAATGAGGTAATCTCTATGGTCAGAAACGTTAAGAAAAATATAAGCAAAATCTTACATCTCAGATACTTAATAAAGATATACCCCCATATATAAATGGTGGCGAATAACAAAATCGGTTGCAAAACTTTTAAACACACATAAACCTATGCCTCCTTTAAAATCAAATGGTCAAATTTTACTTCATCCATTAGAAAAGGCAGAAGCATTAATTAATTTTCAAGCATTTCTAGTGTTGATGAAAGTAAAACCTTGCCTGACCATGGTGCTGGTCCTCCCCTAATTAGCAACCATTGAAAACATATTTGTTACTGAACAAGATGTGACAGATCAATTGAGTAATTTACATGTAAGCAAACCCCCTGGTCCAGATGGAATAACACCAAAGATTCTTAAACAATTATCCTCCTCCTTTTGTAAACCACTAGAAAACATTATACACTGTCAACTAAGAAATGAATCTAGTAATTTAAATGCTCACCTGTTTAAGCAGTACTTAAGCGAAGTAGCATCTTGTACTAAGTGCGGATATCAAAGCGAGGATAACTATCTTCTTTTTTTAGGATGCCCTGCCTATAATAATCAGAGAATGATACTTTTTGAAAGTCTTCAGAGTATAATAGAATTAGAAACCCTCTCTCTTGATCAAATTTTGCATACTTTGCTGTTTGGTGATAGGTAATTACCAAAATAAACTAATTGTTCAATTTTTGAAGCAGTCCTACTGTATATCAAGTCTTCAAAGAGATTTTGATATTATTTTAAGTTATTAAATTTTCTTATTTGGTATTTATACGTACTTCAAATCTCAGCATTTCAATATATATGAATGTATTTTTCCTTGCATATTTGTCTTTGCACTTTCTTTATTTACCTATTCAGTGTGTTGTTTGTTCCAATTTTATTTATTTATCTATTTTTTGTATCTTTCCATGCATATTTGTCTCTTGCACTGATTTATTTACTTAATCAATTTTGTTGTTTGTTGTACTCTTTTATTTTCTTTCATTATATTGTATAATGAGAATATATGCTAGGTAGTAACTCTTGTGTATGATTTATCTTTCTTCATTTCTTCCTTTTCTAATTTACATAAGAAATTAATATAATTTATTATGAACAATTTCATCATTAATTGTAAACCATCACACATATTTATTGTCAATTCTTAACATTTATAACCTTAATCTTCATGGAGAGGATTTATATAGGCTATGCCTGATGTCCAATCCAATTATGTGATCTGACTTTACATAATAAAATACTGATTAAATTAATTAACATAAAAAAGTGTATGATAAACGTAATGACTTCAACTCTTTTCTATCCTCAACTTCCTTTATCTAGCAATATACCATTATCACCTGAATATAGAGTTTATGTCTCCCAGTTGATTTGATACGCGAGGGCATTATCTACAATTTCTAAAATGAGGCAAGCTATTAACAAATAAGTTGATGGTACAAGGATATCAATTGTCTCGTTTAAAGTCGACATTTCGCAAATTCTATGGTCGATACAATGACCTTGTCAGCAAATGCAATCTGTCGACCATGACAAGGAGCATACGGCGGGTATGACCGGTCGACCGGGGGTGCTTACTCCTCCATGGCACCAAGATATCCCATCTCTGATTTTTTTTTAGAGGTCCGTGTTTACTTCTCCCAATTTGTATAGTTCAATGGACATTTCAGCTTGATTTCTATTTGTTATTTTAATATTTCGTGGATTAGGAAACTTAGGCGCTGCTTATTCATATGACTGCAATGACAATGTCGACTTTCTGGGCAGCCTGTCAAGTCCAAAGTGTACCAACTAATCTAATTAAAAACTTAGATGTTCGAAATCTACTACGGCATTTCAAACGGTAGCGGACTCGGAATACCTAATTATTCATTTGATTGCAATTGTATAACAACGTGAATGTCATGGGACTTTTTACAAAACATGTAAACGTTAACGCAAGTGTAGTCATGGTCATCGGTCTCACAATATTAATAAACCTAATATACATTAATTACCTTTTGATTCTGTCAAAAATTCTGTCAAAGATAATGCCAGACGATGGGTCAAATATGAAGGAGAAATCCATTCTTCTGTTTTCAATAACTGAGAAGTGAAAAACGAATAAGATAGATGACATGATCGATATGTACTGATCCCACCTGACAAGGCAGGTCAGTAACTGCATAGTTTTAAGGCTCAGTACATGTATTGCAATTGCAATTCAGAGGAGCTAGGATTTAAAAGTCATGTTTCTCTTTCTAAGGAGGAAATAGTTCAATGTCCAATGACACCTCGGTTCAGACGGGTCGGCCCATCAAGATTTAAGACAGGTCGGTCCATATATATGACACCTCGGCCCAAGCAAGTATATATGAAATATATATTCAAGCTCAAAGTCCATTAAAACAATACAAATCGAGAGCAGAGCAAACACTGACCTCCAAAAACATCAGAGGTGGCATCAGGTGCCATAGAGGAGTGAGCATCCCCTGCCGACCGGTGTGCTCCTTGATTGGGAAATAACGGAAAAATCAGTCAACAATTCAGTGTGTAAGTTTTATTTTCAATTCCAGACTTGAATAACATTTTGATTGACAAAAAGGACATGATCAAGATTTCATTTTTTTAAATTAGAAAAAGCCCTTCCACAAGCACATTGACAATAATCAAGGAAGAGAAGACAATTAATGAAAGTGTAAACTGATAAGCAAACAAGACCGAACCATATTGCAGAAAGGAATTCCATAATGCAGTACCCTATTTTATATGTATTTTTCCTGCAATAATATATAGCTGCAATTCTTAATTCTAGCATTTACCCCCCCCCCCCCCCACCTCAAATATAGTCCATGTACATGTGTAGCTTTTCACGGGTTATCATCCCATCTCAGGTGTTTCAGAACGTCAGTGAAAGAATACAAGATGATACGATAAAATTCAATTCTCATAATATAAATTAGAATATATATGCCAGTATGTTGAAAATTTAGTCTTACTTAAATGTATATACTGCAAATGGGCATTTCCCAGAGGAAATAGAGCCTGATCTAATTTAGTTGGAAAGTAAAACAATTATCTTTAAGACCCCCCAACCCCCAACCCCCCACCCCCATAATATTTTTTTTTCAATTTAATAAATCGTTTAATCGTCAGAGAGAATAATTACATCAATAATATCAATTCAGACGCTGGGTTATTTTTTTTTATCATAAAAATGTTACTTGGGCCGAGGGGCCGACATGTCAATAATCTTGGGACGACCTATGAGGGCCGAGGTGTCGATGAGCCGAGGCGTCTGTCTACCAAATCATATATTGGTTTAAACCAAATTTAATTGGAAGTACTATAGCTCTTTAAACTCCATGAAAACCTTTCAAAGATACAGAGCTGGTTCTAGTGAAATGTTCTACCTAGCCTCTCGAAAATATTAACAGCAAGGAATGAGAAACATCAGTAATACTGTA